GGCTTATAAAAAACAAAACAAGGGTTTTACAACAACCCCCAGTTGAAGCTGCCCATAGCCTGTAGAACCCCCCAACCCTGGCGTTTCTTGAGCAGACGCCTGCTTGATTGCAGTTGTGTACTCAAGCAGCATGTCGGCCGGAGGAACGTGCAAGCTTAGGCCCAAGCCAAACACGCAGCATGCGGTTGGAGGGGCCGAAGTGCTTGACAATGTGGGACCCCGGCGTCAAAGCCGAAAAAAATGCCTGGCAGATCCTACAAGCCCCAAGGCTTGGCTAAAGTCCATGAAGCAAACCTTCAACCCTTCTCCTTTGAAGGAAGAAGCCGTGGTCTAACTCCAAATCAGCCAGGAGAACGTGGGAGTAGTGCCTAGGAAACGCCTCCTGTCAACGGAGGCGGGTGGGAGTGAGAGCTTCAAAGGCGTTCAAGGCTCCTTGATGGTGGCCATCGTAACTGGGAAGCGAGTGCAATTGTCCTCCAGTCTGCCAACAATCGTCTCTGCTCACCATTTGACGAATGAAACACGACTGGGTCCTCAAACTGCTTGTGGTTGAGGAACAGGTACAGTACGTTCCACATGCCTCTGTCCACGCCTCCCGTTCTGGGCTTCGGATGGTTTTGCTTGTAGATGCTTGTCATTGTAGATTTTCCCGTCCAGTGCCTTCCACACCCAAGCCATCCGTGGCTCTTCTCTCCTCACCACCAGCATGCACCGGGTCCTCCCAACAAACATCTTCACTCAGGTACCACCTCAGCAAAGGCTCTCGGTCCCGGTATGGCTGGAAGCCGCTGGGGCGCAAACCCGGCCTGGCAGACTCGCAGACGCTCATCTCAACGTGCGCTGTAAGTTCTTGCTCTTGCGTCGTTCGTGTGGCTTGAAAATGCTTGAAAGCTACAATGCGACAAGCCATGAGGTCAAAGGTTCAGAGTCAACTTCAGTCTTGTCAAGCCTTCCACCCGTTTCCACTGCCCCTGCAACCCGAACAGGAACAACAGGAGACTTTCCTTCTGGGCTGTTTGAGAAGCAAACTTTTTGGAGGTGGAGTAAAATGTCTGCAGCCCAAAGCTCGCGTCAAGAACTGAGGAACCCGTGCAAGGAAGGCGTGCTGCGAACGGCCATCAGCTCGGCCAAGATGTCCCCGTGACGTGCCTGCCAATCGGCTCTGGGGATTTGAAAGTATCTCAACTTCTGCGAAATGTCCTGCCGCCGAAAATGCTATCAAGGCCGAGTGCCGTCAAAGAAGCAAAGCCTTCTTAGCCTGTTTTTGCTCCAGCTCAGCACAGGCAACAGAAAACATGTGCTTTGAAGCCATTCCGCAAACACAAACGGCTGCTGGCGGACTGGAACTGAAACTAGCGCAGTCTCAGCAGACTTTGACGCAGCAGCTAGACAGCTTAAACTAAGAAACGCTGGGGGCACTCCTTGAACAGCATCAAGCCGTTCTTTGCAGCTGCTGCTTGCAGCAGACGAGACTTGAGCTGGGGGTGAGACAATCATCTTGAGGGGCTCGAGCAGCACTCAGCGGACCTTCGAAAGCTGGACCTTTCGCTTTCCCGTCTTCTAACAGTGAACTTTGGCATTGCTCAAGCCGTGGACGTGCCACCTTCGCCTGCGCAAGGTGCGCAAGTTCACAGATGTGCACATCAGCTGTGACGTCACCGGGCCCTGTCAATGCGCTATCACTAAAGTCGGGCCTAGCTGCCCAAGCTGCACGTTTGCCGCGTCGCTCGAAGGCGGCGCATCTGAAAGACACCGCAAAAATTGCCATAGACGATTGGCAGAACATTTGAAGCTTCCACCAGCTTTTGACGTACAGCTGTATGTCTCGCTCATTCGTGTAGCATGTTTGCATAATGAGGACCTCTGTCTCCAGGCTTCTCAAATCAAGAACGTTCTTGCCTTGGGCAGCGCTTGCAGGCTCCGCCTGCAGCAATGTCTGGTGCAGGTCCTGGCCAAAGCTAGATCTAGAGTCTGCACATGTCTGAGCTTATCTAATGAAACTGGCTCCATGACATGGCGCCAAACCCCAGTCCAGGCGGCATAGGGGACAACGGCGGCCACACCGTAACCACTGAAGGAGGCAGTCCTCCACCGCTCTCACCACCCCATCTGCCCCATGTACGAGAAACCCTGTCTCCAATCCTCATGGAAGGCATGGTTGCAAGGCAAAGCCTTCCAGGCGCCACTGCCAGCGGGGTCAGAGTCCGTCTCAAGGCAGATGGCACATTCCGTGCCAGGCTCCACCGACACAGCTGGGGCCTTCAAACTTGCAAAGATTCCAAAAGCCGGCACAGGAAGGTCCCCCCAGGACAGCCTGGACCACCGAATTGATGACCGCCTCAACGGCCGGACCGGAAGAGTCCCACACCCTCGGCATCTGGTAGGCATAACTGGCAACATGCTACGTCGAACCGACGCCAAAATACCATAGCGAGGAAACGAGAAAAGGCAGAACCCTTTTGTTGCGATCCGACGCTCCGCGTCGTCGCGGATCCATCGCCGGGGAAGGGGACACATCCTATACTCCCCTCCGCAGCGACCCGTGTGGTGCGCGTCGTGTCTCAAAATTGAGTGCCCAAGGTGTGGGTGGGCGGGAAAGAAATCGGGCGCACGGCGAACCGCAGATAGCTGCGGGAACGCCGGCGCATGTTAATCCTCACATGCATGCATGTGCTTCACGACATGCTACATCGAACCGACGCCAAGATGGCATTGTGTGAGGAAACGAGAAAAGGCAGGACCCTTTTGTTGCGATCCGACGCTCCGCGTCGTCGCGGATCCATCGCCTGGGAAGCTGCCGGAGCGGAGGCGCATCCTGCACCTCGCCCGGCGCGCCCTCTCCCCCAAAAAGCAACGGCACTCACCCGTGCCCGATGGACTCGGTGGCCGCGAAGGGACCTTCAAGGATGTCGCTCTGCGGCGTGTGGACCCGTGTCCAGCCCTGATGGCCTGGGCCTTGTCCTGTGCGGGCACCATCCCGCCGGGCCGCCAGCCCCCACAGGCTCTGGCTGCCGTGTCCACAGCGGCGGCATCACTCTGGCCATGGTGGCTATCGCCAGCACCCGGGCGAGGATCTCCAAGGCGTAGATGAAGGCCTTGCGCTCGGCGAAGACGTCGAGGAACCAGGCGGGGGCCTCGCCAAAGTCGTAGAACGTGTCGTTGCCGATGGAGACGATATAGCCCCAGCCGTTGCGGCGTCTGTTGGCCATGCGACGCGCCGCATAGGATGGCACGTGTCCCTGCCCGGCCTTGATGGTCACCCCGCCTTCTTGGAAAAGGGCATCGGGGAAGATGGTGGCGCCGATGACCACAGGCTCGCCGAGCAAAATCCGCCGAGGGCAGATGCACTGCAAGAGGCCCATGCACGAGCGCAACGCATCGACCAGTCCATCCTTAGAGAGGGTGAAGGGCCGCTGGGCCCACCGCGCTGAAGACTGCCTGGTTGAGGAAGCCCAGCTTGCCGACGAGTCGTTGCGCGTCAAAGGGCTCCAGGCGCCCGGCGTCCAGGACCTGCTGGATGTCGCGGCGCATCTTGGTCAAGCGGCGCTCGGTCGGCTTGATGGTGACGCCCTCGTCGTCGATGTCAATCTGCACGCCTAGGTCACCTGCAACTTTTGGCCGGCAGCTGGGTTTTAGACGGCTAGTATGGAGGCCGACGTCGTCAAGGATGGCCCGAACGTGTCGTGGGCGGAGTCGGCTATAGGTCGGCGAAGTCGGAGCCGTTAAAGTCTATATAGTGGCCACCCATGACCAGGATGACTGCCCGGACGACAAGCTGTGAATGGCGTCGGCGGCTTGGTTAAAATTTCAGATGGACGCCGCGGCCCGCAGCACAATCCAGAGGGTGACTCCCGCCTGAGTGACAAGCAAGGTCCCACAGTGCTCCGGACGGCGGACCGGCCACTGGCAATATGCATTCAGCATGTCGTGGCCGAACAGCGTCACGTCCGTGTCGTCCGTCGAAATAGATCGACGAAGTTACGACTGGATCGTCGCCAATCTTCGCCCCGACGAAGCTTGACCTGCCCTTTGGACAACGGGGAAGGACGCCGTCACCAGCCAGGAAGACGCCCGCACGGCCAGTCCTGCAGCGCCCCCAGGGCGCCCCAGGCCCTATAACCATGTCCTGACTTGACTTGACGTCTTCTACTTGCTCGTCGAGCAGTTCCTCTGAGCGTGAGCTTGGTCGGGACAGCCTGGAACGCACATATCGGTGGGGGAGCAGCGCTCGTCGTCCCGCTGCGCCAACGTGGGTCTGACCTTGCGCCGGTGAGGTCCGCCTCGACGCCCGCAACTTGCAGTTTAGTCGAATTGCGAGGATCTGCTGCAGGGGCGCCGTTTGTCCTGCGCGCAAAAGGTCGCCGAATCGCCGACCGCTCGGCCATATAGGTCGTCCACCCCTCCTGACCGTGGCGTCGACGTGAATCGCTTGAAAATGCGGCGGAGCTGCTCGGGCAGCGGGATGATCACCAGGTCTCCGTCAGCGGTCTCCACCAGGGAGCAAACTGGCGCGAGCCTGCCAGCCACCGCGACTTGAGACACCTGCCCCCTTTGATTCTTGGGTGTCTGGCGCCGGCGTCCTCGAGCAAGGCAAGCACCATCGACCAGACTCACCAAAGGATGGAATTTAAGGCCGCCGAGGTCGAAGTCATTCAATGAGGCCCGCGGCGTCCAGACGTAGTCGTCGCCATCCATCAGACTGTGTCCACACCAGTGGCTCCTGCGAGTCGGGATCCTTGTCGACGGTGTCCCAGTCGATGGTGACGCAGAACAGCCGCGGCCTGGTGATCCAGCTGAAGTCACCGGCGCAAACCAGGATCGGCGGGAAGCCAAACTCCTGGGTGACTGCCGCCGCGTCGGACTTGCGCATGATGGTGTTCTCGGCCACGCTGTCCGAACCGGCGTCGGCCCGTTTTGCGCCGCACTCGCGCAACGAACTTCGGGGCCGTCAGGAAGAGGGATCCGTTGGCACGTACTGCGCCCCGGCGCTTGGGCGCGGATGAGGCTAAAGTCCTGGCACGGCGGGGCCATGCTGGTACGACGTCAGTCGGGGTCGCACTCGGCGTGGTCCTTGGAGGTCGCCTCTCTCCAGACGAAGCACGCGGCGCGCCGAAGAGCTGCTCGACGATGTAGGGCGCCGCACCGACGCTGTTGAAGAAGCAAAAGAAGAATGATATCCTGGCCGTTAGGTCAGCATCAGGCGGAGCCGGCGTGTCGGTCGGGCACCTCATCCTCGGATGAGGCCCCACGCTGTCCCTAGCACGTCCTTCGCAGCAATCCCGGCACCCATCGTTTCCTGAAACGTCCGTCTTCTTGGCATCCCGGACCTGGCGGCCCCTGCCTCGGCCATGTCCTCGTCAGGGGCGCGGCGGCGTGCCATCCAGCGATGGTCTCCTGAAACATCGCCGTGTCCGCCAGGCCACGCCACCTTGAGCCAGCACTTCTTGATCTGCTCCAGCTTGTTGGGCTGGCTGCGGGCCTTCACCGTGAACCAGTAACAGCGCACGGCGTCCTCCCGGCCGATATTCGTGAGGATCATGGGCCAGTGCGCCGTGTCCACGCTGTCAATGATCGCCAGCAGAGAGTGTGGGGATTACTGGGGGCCCTCCACCGACACCACACGAGGCAAAATACTGCCGCAATGTAGCCGACGACGACGAGCGGGAAAAGGTTGACGTTGCCAGCACGCCGTGAAGAGCAGTTTCTGCATAATTTCTCCAAGGCCGACAGGGTATACGCTTCAGAGCGAGTGTGTTCATGCCACATTGGATGTTGTCGGGGAAGTGGCGGCGGCGGCCATCGACCTTGATGTCGTCGCGCACCTCCACCTGCGCACTGCGTGAAGTTCTTGGGCACCTTCTCGTCGGGGTCGGCCAACGTTGTGGCCGTGGAGGCCGATCCAAGTTCTTGGGCCTTCAGATAGTCGACAGTTTTTGGCCGGCGCCGGCCTCCCATGACGTTGAAGGGGGGAGGCAGCCGTTTTGGCGGCGACGACGAGGCCGTCGGTGGCACAGCTGTTGGCGGCCTGGCCAGGGTAAGCGGGCCACGACAAGCTGCAGCAAGAAGTAGCGGACCACGGCCATGAAGCCGCCGTCGGTGTCTGAGAGAAGAAGAGGATCCTCGCACCTCCAAGACGGAGACGGCGGACGTGACGGCGAGGGGCATGAAACGGGCATATAACATATATAGCGGTTGCACTTGGACGCCGCAGGCGCATTCCAGGCTGCGCCGAGTCATGACACACTCCCCGGCCCCCCCCTGCGCCGTTTTGTGCAGAGGGATGTCGATTGACCGTCGTGCTGGTGAGTTGGGCGTCCTTCACCAGGGCGGCGCCCAGCTCCAGCTCCCGAAGCATGGCGACGACGATGACGTCGACCATGTGGCTCACCCCGTCGGTGCTGAAGAGCACCTCCGCCGAGAACCAGAACCATGAGCGAGAAGACGTGGATGAACTTTAAATTTACTATGTGCCACCCTTGAGCGATGCCCCGATCGACCTCATCACGTCGATGGTGAGTGGTCAAGGCTCGACCCCCAAAGCCTCTGCACACCGTCGCCACGTCCTCAGCGGCAATGCCACGTCCAAATGAATGACAGGGGCGCCGTCAGCATGGAGAAACTGCCACCGGACTTCGACTGCCTCGCCGTCCCGGACTGGCGACGGCTATCCACTGGCGTCGCACGTTCGGCGCCTTCCCGCCGGACAGTGGGGCGGACGTATTCCACAGCGCCATGCTGGCCATCGGCGCGGTCACAAGACGCACGGCGCCTGGCCCCAATCAGCGCTGCGGCGGCACCGGCGTGTGCTTGCGCCCTATTTTGCTCGGCATGGACTGTTCCCACGACGGGCATGAGTGCCCATGTCTGTCACCTATCCGCCGTCCCCTCCACAACGGCAATTGGGCGACAAGGGCATGGGAAGCGCCGCTCATGCACCGAGCCACCTCCTCGGCGAGGGCGGCCGCTTTGTCGGCATCCTCGGTGTGACTTCGCCGCGGCTGAGCCTTGGATAGCTTGCAGTGGCGGGCTTTAGCCCTCGCCGTTTTATTAGGGTTGGCCTGCACTCGTCGTAGGCGCGTAATGCATTTAGGACGCATTTCGCCGCCCAATTTTGGGCTGCCCGACGGGGCGCATTATAAGGCAGGCCTACGACGCCTGGAGTGACCGACGGCCTGCTTGCTTGCTGCGGGGATTTGCTTTGAGGCCAAGCATCACTATTACTAACCCCCTTGCTAGCCGTCGATTACGGGCTCAAATTATTCGGGCTCAATTGGCGAGGACGACGATGGCGTCCCGCGACGACATTGGGGACCTTCGGCGGGCACCACCGGAAGTGGCGGCCTCACGCAGACGTCCTCATGCGCAGCATCAGTCGTGGCTATCCAGCACCAGGAAGGCCCAATGCTTTTGACGCCGGCGGCGTCTCCTGGCCCCTGTCGCCAGTCTCCCGCCGCGCCGCCTCCATCGCGCTGGGTCTCCGCCATGCCGCAGTCCGTCGCAATGTTCTCGGCGTAGCCGTAGTCGTCCACACACGTTCACCAACGGCGGAGACTTCGGCGTCGGCGATTGCTTCAGCGGCGGGCGCTTAGCCTGGACAGTGAGGAAGATCGGCTCCGGCGGGCCAGCATGAATGACAGCGGCGACTGGTTGACCGGCGCTGCAGACGCCGTTGCCGGCGAGGTCAAGGACCCAACGATGGTCTGCTCGTCGTCGGCGATGCCAGGGGTGGTAGTAGACGCCGACAAACTTATTGTTGTAGGCGCCGAGGTACTGGCCGACCCCGTCGCCAGCGCTGCTGACGACTGTCCGGCGGCATCGTCGCCTGTGCCGCGCGCTCGTCGGCGTCGGGGTCGGCGATGCTGGTCAGGCCGCCGTGGAAGGTGACCACCTCGTTGCCGACCATGGTGGCCTCGTCGTGGTCTGGGACACGCGCCGCCATCCACTTCTCCATCGCCGACATCACCGAGGGCGGCATGTCGATCTTGTTGCCGCGTCGGTCACGGCGGCGCACAGGGAGGGAGGATGTAGTAGGCGCGGAAGGCGACGAAGCCACCGACGTGACGGCCGCCGCCACTGCTGCCCGAAGTTCCGGCGTCCATGCCACCACCTCCGCCGTAAGGTCGCCTGACTCAGCGACGAGAGGACCGCCGCAATGTCGCCGGCGGAGGAAGGCAACGACGAGGTCGGAGTGGTTGCCACAGAGGACACTACAAAGAAATCAGGCGCACGGCGAGCCGCAGATAGCTGCGGGAACGCCTGCGCATGTTAATCCTCACATGCATGCATGTGCTTCACAACAATCTGACGGCGGCGCCCTGCGGAGTATAGACCGTCAAAACGTTTGGCGGCACCATGATGCTGCTGCCAGACCCTAGCCACATACCGGTCCAGACTAAGGCCTTGGCCGTCTCAAGTTGGAAACGCGATGCCTGCGATAACACTCAGGAACACAGAGCTCGGACTTTTTAGCTCAGCAATTGCCATGCTGTTCTGAGAGCCCGGCCTCAGCAGTATCAAGGACAGCAGCAGCACCAGCATGAATACCGCAGTCCACAAGCTTCGTTCTGGAAGGGTTCGGCAGAGATCAGAAAAGAAGCAACTTGACCCGCGGGGCCCTGCGGGTTGCACTGCGCATTTGCCTTACAAAGCATATGCACACCCTTGGCACAATTCAACCGCAGAACCTGAATCCACTAGCAGTCATGGCCTTCAACTTGTGTCCTCTCTTACTAGGACTTTCTTTACTCAACAAACATATGTGCAAACATCCACTCCTCGGATGTTGAGGACAAAGCCTTTCCTCAGATCCAAGATGCTCAAAGCATAGAGGTTGCCCCGCACTGAGATTATTGTGTTTGATTAAAGCAACGCTTCCAAAATCCCAAGTTGAAAAGTTGTACTACAGCACGCTTCCCGAGATTCACAGAAATTGAGCAGCAGCACCTATCTCTCAAATTTAATTCAATCTGCCAGGAGGCAGTCCCGGATCCGCCTTCCAGCAAGCCGCAGACTCAGTGGCCTCAGACACACCAGAAGCCTTCTTGCACCATAGCGAGGATAACACAATCTCTTCTGCAAAGGCTCCACAAGCGGACCCCCATAAATGGCATAGTACAGGACAACCGGCACGGCCACGACGTACATGAAAGGAGCCTGATAAAGTGGAGTTAGCTATTGCAGCTGGCGGTCGGCGCAAGTATATTTGGACCAGCCGCCATGGACAAAGCCAGCAGATACATGAGTAGCCATTGCCGCACACCCTGCAGGGACATTGAACTCACGAATGCTTGGCAATGCTAGGCCCTAGGCAGGCTTTCTAGCAAAGGGATATGGCGGTAGCCAACCTCGCAGTCGCTCGGAAGGCCTCGCAGCAGAAAATACCACCCTTCGACCCAGCACCAGAGCTGCAGGGCACCTGCACCAGGTTCACGTGCCGAGGACTTCAAGTGAGCTGCATGTCAGTAATTGGCAATGCCCAAGGCTCTGGCATGCAGCGAGAAAGCACAGCACCGCCGCTAGCAAGGGGACGCGGAGCCGGCGTGCCTGATCATGAACATGGAGGGTCTGGGTATGCTTTGCCAGCATGCGAAACGCAGGGGGTGCAAATTACGACTACCACGACTTCTGAGGCATAGCTTTGCACGGCTTCGATGGGCTTCGGGCATGGCTTCGCATGGCTTCGCCTGAGTCCTTGCCAGCACTGGCAGCGGCTCAGGCAGATTGAGTCCGATCGTGGGGAGCCTGAGCAGCAGGGCGGCAGAGAAGTTTTAGCACTCCGCAAATATCCTGGTGCTTAAAAAGGCACCATCGAAGAACCATCTCGTCGCACAGCGCATTGCATCTTGGTGCAGCAAAAGCTGAGGATTGCTTTTCCTAATTCAAAGAAGTGGAGCAGAGAGCATAGTGGGCTGGTAGCATCTGCGTGCTGTTCGTGGGACGCGCGACAGACGGCACAGCGGCAGCAGCTGCTTGTCTCTGGCGCAGCCATTCAGGGCAATTAGCGGCTCTAAGGTGCTTCATATTACTGAATTCGTTGCTCATTTGCCGAGTGACGGCGGCTGCATGCTGTGTCTTGTGCTAGCTCAGTGAGCTGCTGTTGAATTGAAGACCATCCCTGCAAAGCAGCAGCCTCTGTAAAGCCAAGCCACGCATCCACGCAGCAAAGACTTCAGACAAGCAAGGCTGTCCCTTTGCAAGCTCGATCGCACCTCAATTGCAGACAGCCACGGGAAGTCCTCAGGAGGGCTTGCCAGGCTTATCTCTTGACGGTCTCTGCGTGTCGCCTGTTCCTGAAACACTTCAAACATCTTCAAACCATCATGTCGCGTGTCAAGCTGGCTTGCCATGCCAGCTTAACCACTTTCTACAATCTGTGAGAATGACATCATGGTTTACGTGTTTCAATATCTGCGCTCCACGGTGGCTCCACATGCATCCTGTATGGACCGAGGCCATTGACAATCAGATACAATGAGCTTAGCACATGGTAGCAACGGAATCAAAAGCTGAGCTGGCTCCTTTCGTGGCCAAACCGGGCAGCTGCGTAAATTTGGAACCTGAGTTTATCCAGCTGCCATCCGGAACTCCGGAACCATGAACTAGAGGCAAACGCAGCCAACGCAGCAAGCTTGATTGAGGCCAAAGTGCATTCTCAGCCGATCGGCACATTTGCGGGATGCCATGCTCCCATATGCGCCCATTCATACGAAGAAGCAGCCACTGTCGAACGCGCTTGCATTCCTCCAAACAGGTAGTGCCGTTGACGTTGGTGTCAAACGTGGTCGAACACTAGCGGCATGCGAATGACTGGCATGTTTCAGACCTTGCCTCATCGTTGGCTCTGCATATCTTGTCCTGAATGAACTTCTTGGCCTTTGCAATGAAACTCTTTTTTGACTCGTAGGGGCAAAATCATGTCTTGCCAAGTCATCGAAGATTGTTTCTGAGCACTTGTGTCAGGACAGCATCTGCCATATCGTGAAAAGTATGGGTCCGAGGAGTCATGAGACGATCCACAGGATGTAGCTTCTCTTCCGTCTTTTTTGGGGAACTGTGCGCTGGACACCTGCTCGATGCAGCCCCGTAACCTAAGTCTAGTCAGAAGTCAGATCATGTCTCCTTTGAAGATGCTTTGAGAATATGAAGTCGCTGCTTTCTAGAGGACAAACAGTGTAGTAGTGTCTGCCGGGTGGCTAGCCACTCATCCAGCACCTTCCAGTAGACAAAGCAAGTTATTCCTCCGCTGAATGGTCACCATATGTCACCATGTGATTCTGAAAGGAACTTGTGAACACAAAGCAGAGCCTTCTCCACGGCGGACAGCACACGCGCTGCGCTGCTACTGGATGATTCAGCCTGGGTGGTTACGTGTGCTGCAAACAGCAGATATAGATATGAGCCATCGGGACCAGGCTGGGCCAGAAAACCTTCACCTAGTGTCAGCCTCCCTGCCTCCCCATCTGCAGAGTCACCCTGTGCCATGGCACCGGCTTGACCCTGCGCGCTTGTAATGTCAAAGTATCAAACTACCTTGCGTCTGCTTGATGACGGTTCACGCCGTTGAAAGCCATCTTGAGTCAACAATGCTGCACTTGCCGTGTGCTGAAGCCAACTTCTCGGCTGGGCTGAGCGAAGCTTGCATGTGTGCGCAGTTGGGCCACCACAGCAGCATTACAAGACGATATCCGCACTGTGTTGCGTCCATCAAAGGACTTACAAAATCCCTCCGGACAGCACCTCCTGAACGTGAGTTCTCAATCGGGTCACTCTTGCCCCCATATGACACTAAAATGCCCGAGGCCAGGGCACTGTGTATGAAGCTAATGTGTGGCGGCATTCGTGGCGATGGGGTGAGGCGAGGGATCGAACTCTGAAAGATGTCCTGAATAGACTGGACACCTACAATTTGCAGAGGCAGTGACTCACAATACTGTAACTGAGAGGGTGAGTGGAGCGCGTGCCAAGTGCAGAGTTTGGAGTGAGTGGACTGGTGGGGAAAGAAGACCTAGTCAAGCTTGACTCTAGTTCGGCTTTGTGAAACAACTTGACTTGGGAGGCGCAGTGTAATTGGGAGCTCCAGTAATCTCGAAAGATCACCAGGCTTAATGTCATTCAACTTATTCCATGAGACCGAAGCTCGCATCATGTGGTTTTTTGTCTGATATGGCCATTTTTGGCACAGCTGATCTGTGCCGAAGACATACAGTAGTCATGTCGGGAGTTAGGCTGGGGCGACACATTTGTTGATGATAACGTCGGTGTCCGAAGTTAAGCCCCATGAGAACACGAATCGCATGTGGACCAAAAGTGAAAGCTTGCATGATTTTGACATTTTGAGTACGCATACAAACTGTGACACCGCGGCCTAGCGATCCTTTAGCTCCGAGAAAGGCATGTCGGACAAGTTACCACAAAGATAACTGGCCTGCGCGCTCATAGCGACTTTGCTTTTTGATCCAGAACACTGGGTAGAAGACACATTGCGCCAAACACCTTCTGCTTCCATTGCAATGCTTCTGTTTTAACTTAATAGTCGGATTCTAATTGTCCGCTCCAGTTCTGAGATGGTTGTTCGCTGCAGAGGGCACTCCGCCAGGGCGGACTGTGGTAGGATGTCTGGCTCCATCAGGCAAGATGCATCAACGAATTTCGACGTGCGTGACAAAGCTGATGATGTAGAGACAGACTTCTATGACTTGCTGCACATGAGGTCGCAGTCTTAAATGAAGACATGCCTGTGGTCCGACAGAATTGAGGACCAACTCTGTCGCGGAGTGCTGCGCGAAAGACGCTGCGTCTGGCCATGTCCGGCCTGAAGCGCTTCCAGTGAGGATACTCGTATCCGTAGAGGAGCAGATGATCATAGCCAGCATTCCTGGACAAATACCTGCATGGCACCATGGCCACTCATGTCCCAAGCGGTGCCAGATGGCGCCAGCCTTGCCTTGATTGCCTCAGCGCGGCCACAACATCTTGTACACATCGGAGGTTTGTGGCCTGAGCACACGTAAGGCTTCAGATCGCGGAAAAGGCGGCTTCACGCATATCATCTGCGTGGCTTCGGGATTTTCAAGAGCCGGGCATTCTGCTCAGGTGTCCGCTGGTCCAGCCAGAAAAGCAGTGGGAAGTAGGCTGGAACCTTGAACATGCCAAAGCTTCAGGATCATCATCGATCGCACTTCCCCTGCTTACAATTCGTTCGCAGCTGACCCTCATGTTTGCTTCATCCATGAGAATAATGCAAGGCATCTACCTGCTCAGCAGCCGAAAAACGATTGTCCTGCACTCAGCAAAAAAAAAAACGAACATCCTGCCCAGGGCTCAGGGCTGCACCCAAAAAAGTGATGCTGCCTGCAAATCGGCTCATGGAACCATGCTTGGATGAATTGTCATAATCTAGCGTTTTCACACTTGGTGCACAGCCTGTGTCTTCATGTTGTGACAGGGTGCAATAAAATGCGTTGACAGGTCCTCTGTTTGTGTCTCTCATTGTTGGCTGGCATCTCAGTTGGGTTACAGTACAGAGATGCCACATCGATACACAGCCGTTTGTCCGGTTGCTTGACCCTAGCCCTCATCAGACTTGGGCATGATTACCCAAACCCAACAGCTAGAGTCTAGAGCCAGCACTCAACCCGCTGAGCTGTTGCCCGCGTTGCAGTCGTCTTCTGAGATTTGTTCTTGCTCATAGCGCAATGCTAGAGCAAAGCTGCACATGACTCAGGCTACCTATAAACCGAAAGCATCAACCAAACACAACCTACGCGGACCCGGCTTCTGATTCTCCAGTCCATCTCTCTGCAGCATCAGCCTCACACTCTCAGATTCCAAACTTGAGGCCTTTTCCACGGGCTCAGCTTCGTTTGCTGATGTCCTTATTCGAGGTGCTTAGCCTAGAGGCCGCCGTGACAGGGGGGTTTGTCTATGGAGCGTTGACTTCGTCTCAGAAACTGCTGCCGTTGATTCGAAGTGTGAGCTCCTGCAGTGAATTAGCGATATGGATGGCGTAGTAAAGCGAGCGCTGGCTGCTCGGGGCATTTGCTGAGATATCATGGCTCGCCTCCTTGCCCATAGCATAGGCAGGCTCACCATGTTGCTTCAGTTCCATCCCTTCCTTTGGATTCTAAATGCTGATTCATAATGTTCATCATCCAAGCTGTCGGTCAATTGTGGCAAGTTTGCTCCACTTCAGAAACTACTCTACCTGCAATGCAAGCATGTTAGCATCGAGGCCGAATGGTGCCGAAACCACTAGCTCTGACGCCAACAACAGGTCGACAGCTTGGCCTCCTCACTCGAAACTAACTAATTATTCTTTACTGGCTAGCGATACCGGAGAATCGCCCTTCTGCTTAAGATTTCTCACAAGCATCCATGGTAAGCATTCAACATCCACAGCATCGCACGCATCAAACTTGAAGTCCATGGACAAACCGCAACGCTTGCGGAAGAAAGATGCCTCCGGATCGTCCACGCGGTGCCATTGGTCAAGGTGATCCTGGCGCATGCACAGGTCCCTCCTGCATTTGGACTCTTGCAGCGGTACAGTGTTTGGTCCCCCTTCAAGGGTCATTAAGCGATCAGTGATCTTATAGAGAATATAAGCGCTACAGTCAATATCTCCAACATGATGAACAGACATGGGTTCCCATTAAGGAATATGTTCGGGACTACACAAAACTACCAAAGGGACCCCTATGTTCACCCTTAACGGTCCCTTGGTAACCCTAATATTGACAGTGGCTTACATAAGAACACCTGGTTGAGACGTGGTGAAATCTGTCAAGACTGAGTCTGCTATTAGAGACGTGGGAGCTTGTTGTAGCACTGCATTCTAAAAAGACTAAGAACAGCTGGAAGCAGGTAGCACATGGTAGCACTTCTCCCACCAGTGTGTCCTCGATCGACATTATCTGCTGCAACATACCCTTCACGTGAAGCTGCTCCTCACAGTCCATAGTGGCTGAGCGTGCTGTGGGGTGCAGTCTGGACGGAAAAGCCGCTTGAGAACTAAAAGATAGCAAGCCTCAATTGCTCCATGTGACATCATCTGTGAACCGGGGTCACTGCGCTCTCATGCAGCCCAGATGTTGGTGCTGACACTGCTGCACGGGCCTTGGTAGTGATCAGGTTTATCTCGACTCACATCAGAAACCTAAACCATTTCGGTGAAAGCAGTGGTGCAGAATCGGAAGAATGAGCTAGCATTCTTGATGATTGCTTGCATGTTTATCCGCAGTTATGGCGCCTCGCTCCGAGCACAGCTTGGAACATCGTAGGCGTAGATGGCCGGTGCCCTTGTTCAATTGTTTGCTAGTTACTGGTTTTGTAGCAGCTTGTTGAAATGATCACTCAGGCGATCAATAGCAAGAAGCATGCCGCAACCCTTCTGTACCCGTGCCAATTTGTAAACCAGGCCTCGGCATCATGCGGGAGGACAAGCCATTTGTACTGGTTGCGGACGCAGAATTCCGCAATATTCCGTATGTGATTTAACATGCTGGATATTTGATACCTCGGATTACTGTTCGAGCACGTCCCTCTGTGGATCAATGCGTCACATGCCCAGACGGACTTGCTTCCTGCAATGTGTCTCTGCATCATGCCGTCGGCCTCTTCCATGCCAAACCACTATCCAAGAAATACCATGACACTGGAGGACCTGATTTTGAAGAAACAGGTGGTCTTGCAACTTCTGCGCGACGGTTCGGGTAGCTTTCCGCAACCAAGCTTAGGCACAGTTTCCGTGATCCTGCTGCAAATATGCAGCAAGATCCTGCCAGACCAGCTAAGGAGCAAGCAGAAGAAAAATGGTCCGTGGAGAAAACGATGGTGCAAAAACAGCCCTCTGTGTGTCCGTAGCTACATGCAAATACAAACTACGCAGGGGAGAGCCCAGCAGCAGCGCTATCAAAACAAATTAGTAAGCCCGGCTTCAATTCCTTCAATCCTTCTGCGCAGTGGCGCAACAAGAGCCAGAGTAGATGAAGCAAGTGTACTGGGGCTGCGCCTCCAACTAGAAAGCAAAACCTCGTAGGGATGAAAAAACTCTTGGACCCTCAGCCCCGCAAAGACCGCTTGCGGGCTCCGGCCCCAACATGGAGAGAAACGAGCAGACTGCACATGGTTCTTGCATATGGGGCTTGAAGAGACGAGAGTGCCTGTCGAGCCCAAAGGGAGGTGGAGGCCGAAGGCACCGCACGGAAAGGGGGGAGGACTGACCGAAACCCAAATAGACGAGCCCCAAGCCCAACAGCAACTTGAGAAAACAGGCCCTAAACGATGAAAGAAGTTGAAGGAATTCAGGAGGTGGGTGCCTGCGGCACTGGCAACGAGGCGAGGCCTCTCGGCAGCCTCAGTGACGAGGGGCACGGACTGAATGCCTCGATCCTCTCGCACTAGACAGCTGTTTGCATGTGTGCGTGCCTGCTTTCCTGGACTTGACAGTCAAAAGTTGATGGCCATCCGCACAAAATCGCACCTCACCATGCTGTCCTGATGAATTTCCCTATTTGGGAGAGTTTTCTGTTTGATCTGTTTGGTTTGCTTGGTGGGATGGCCAACGTTTCTGCGGACTGGGGGGCTATGACTCCGACATGTTTGAACGTACGAAAGGCCACCAGGCCCGCTTCGTACTTGGACCCATTCGGGGAAAAGCAATGCAAAGCTGCGTCGCCCCGACTCACTAATTCAACGCCCACAGCCGGGCAGTACCGATTCTCGTCACGGATCAGAGCAAAACAAGCCTAAAGACAACTATCATCCAAAGCATAGCCCACTTAGGATCCATGGATGGAGCAACATACAGCCGTTGGCAGGCCAAGCGCTTGCCCTTTCCAATATTCCGGCTCTTCATGTTCATGCATGTTGGCGGCTGCCTTCACGGAGCCCTTGAAGAATTCACGAATCTCGGAAAGTGGCCCGCTTCGTCCTACTTGTCCTTTGCAAGGCGCCTGGGAGAAAGCACCCTCGTTTGATCCGCACAGGGGGGTATCCCCCAAACTTGCAACAGGGTCCAACACACGTCTCTTCACAAGTATCAGAATCACCAGCCCCATCCTTGCCCTGTTCCTTAGCCGACTGAGCGGCAATAAATCCAGCCCGTAAACAAGATGGTTTTGGAAATGTTTGGACTGAAAGATCCGCCTATGGCAAGCGAGCTGGTTCATTCTGACAGTCGTGCTTGAAATGGTGCAATGATCAAAGAATGTGGCTTTCAACACTCGGTGTCGTGTGGACTCGATGCAGGGCAACTGCTCATCCACAAATTTCTGTTCAGAGGCAATGTGCAGTCGAATGGAAGACTTGCTACCTCAAACCCTTTAACAAAACTGGCACGCAAAAAGCGACCTCCAAGATCCACATGCAAAATTGTTGTGGTCCGTCAAGCGCATGTCCCCATCGCTACTAGGGCAAAGTTGACATATTTGACACTGAACTCCCAACCCACACATTTCTCGACCAAGTTTAACAGTTTTCTGGGCTGCCCATCCTTGCCTTGGGGCCACCTCCAACACAAAAGCATACAACAGCACTCTGAATCATGCACATAGTGGGATTCGACGAGTTGGAAATCTTCGGAAAGCTCAAAGGGGGCAGGGTTGCTTTGCAAAAGACAAGCTTGGATGGATGAGGGCATCGTGTTGAGAAACAGAAGGAACATGTGTGTTCTCGCGCTTGCTTTCCGATGCCCGAAGAGACTCGCCAAGCGGCCCGCTCATAGTTATCATAAAGTCTTCGCAACGGCGTTGTGTTTTTGCACGGTCAAGGACGCCGGGTCAGGTAGGAGATGCTGCCCCTGCCCGACCTCCAGCGATGCAAAGAATGCATCCAGCCAAAAGTTACCGAGGTTGGCGTGGGAGTGTTGCAGGATGCCTCGTGACATCTTTACTCGCCAGCAAGTCCTGAAATCATGAGACATGGCCGAAAGACGGACTCTCCGCGGTGATCCCTTCATAGCATCCAAGATGCTGGTCTTGAGCTTACAAGAACGAGCGCAAGAGCGCTATGAGCCAACATGGCATTCTCTAGCGCTCGACAAACAGTGACAAACTGTTCCGTAGTCCAGGTGTTATCTGAGTTACACAAGGCTAGGGAAACATGCTCCTCAAAGCACTCATCTGGATAAAGCCTCCAGCATGCTCTAATACAAAGCGCTGACCATGCCTAGCACCTAGATCCACAACGCATCCCAGCATCTGAGCCCCCAGGATTCGGAGAGCTGCTTCAAATACCCCTCAAAACTGCAAGCTGGCAGCAAGCTTTTCTGTAGGAGCAATACAGTCAGGTGGGGGTCAGCGCGGCATCGAAAGCATGTCTATTGACAAGGTGCGCATGGATGCAAAGCGCTGCCTGTAGTGTACAGCGGATCGACAGGGCTGCATATGAAAGCATAGTCATAGGACTCGAAGCTGCGCAAAGTTGAAAGCAGCCCCGGAACCAAGCTAAAAAAACGTACCAACACTGTGTAGACATCCTTTGGACCCTGCGGTCCAATGTGGAAGCGTGCTGCGAACTCGGGGGCAGAAGTCTCTTTTCATTTTCACGCTCCCCAGAGCTTGCCTCGCAGATGTCACCAGCAGCTTGAGGTCAGCTTCTCAGACAGTACTTTCATGGCGCTTAGCTGCAATACTGCGGCACTGTAAGGGCATATGCTTTCCGGCACATCCGTGATTAAAGAGCATTTTGATAAACACTCTGGTACAGTTTGCAAACTTGCAACGAATTGCCCAGGTGTCAGTCAGGGATGTCAGCTCCAAAACCTCTCCACCCTGACACCCTTCGGCATGCGCGTTCAGACCAAAAACATTGCTCTAATCCGTGGAGGTCATGGGTCTGCTCAACAAGCCATGCCGAATTTTGACTGACAACTTTGTGAGCAGTCTACGCTGGTCACAGACGAATTCGGGGAGGTCGGCGGCTGTCCGCCGCTGTTGTCCAAGCCTTTGGTAAGCACCTTCCGTGTCCATGCGTGCTCCGGCTGCAGATCCAGCAAATATCAAATATCACAAGCTAGGCTGCAGTTTAGAATAACATGCTCTGTTTCATGTGCTTTTCGAGCTCATTTCCTCAGCGGCTCACCTGTGAGCCCTTGAACTATGAAGCTCTTCTACCTACCTTCTAACTCCAAACTTGTCCCGTTCGATCGTCTTAGCATGTCTCAGCTTACGTTTATCTTAGCTACGAGTACAGAGCGGAACGCAAGGCTCCCTTGAAGGAGAGGCAGGAAAATCTGGCAAGCAATCATGCAAAGAAGGCCAAAACAGGCAGACGCCTCACTAGAAATCAATGGCAGCATCATGCCTGATGTCCGGATTTGGCCTAACCAAAGTTGGGCATATGTTGGGGCAGGAGCTTCTGGTTCCTATCCTTCTAAGTAGGTTGTTGAGCGCTTTCTGCCCCAACTCGCCACGCCTTGCTGTTGCAGTTCCATGCTGTCCCGCACTATAACACTTTGGCCACTGCAAGCAAGGGCCACCAAGCAGGTCCAGTGGCAGTTGAGGTATGCTTGGCTATGTGCGTTTGGCTTGTCTGGACCTGCAAATGGATTCTCTCATTTCAGCTTTAAACAACTACTGTCCTGCTTGCTCCAAGTCACTCGTCACGTGAGGATTCCTTGCTCTGCTGACCCATGCAGCTACTTACTATCACGTCTGGAAACTCCTGTGGCAGGCGAGTCTGGAGACTTGCAGAATGGCTAAACTACAACGACGGCATTCAACGGTGAGGCAATAAACGGGTCACGGAGGCCACAAAGCTGCACAGCCCCAAAGCTCACGGGCGCTTGCCCTTCCGTCGTGTGGAGCTGGCAGGTCCATGCGTGAATCCGCCAAGTCCCAAATGCCCATCTACGGATCGCGACATTGCATTGAGAACGCTGAGGCCCGAGTTCGAACCCGTCGAGGTCGAGCATGGCCCCTGACCAGAGCTCGATGAAGGCTCTTCGTTGGGGTTCGTCTGCGATGATGAGGAAGGTGTTCGCATGGTATGAGGATCCCGTCGCCTGAGTTGCTGCACTTCTGATCGCTGTGGACTAACTGCCTATGAACCACTCGCAAAGCTGTGACCCCGGATCGCTTCGCTGCTGCCAGTTGACGGGATCACGGGGCCGTTGTCATTCATGCCAATCGCTTCACGAAAGGTTCCAAGAGTTCCTGGTGCTCAGTAGACCAAGGGTCACTAATGTTTCTTGCACTTGGTCGGCGGACTCTTGGACAGGAGTTTGAGGTTTATTGCATATGGGCCCGGACAGAATGCCTGACATCCAATTGCTTTCTGACGTACTGTCGGCGCCTGTCGTTCCCGGGCTCTGAATATCCAGCTGTCGTCGTGGCAAACGATCCCTTCCCAGCTCCACGCGGCTCATCTCATGCCTGCAAACTCCGTCAAACTTTCTTACAATCGGATGGCTGCCAGCAGATGCGGGCATCTGCGCAGATTACACTAGTGCTCAAAACACATTGCACATGCTGCATCATGCTGCTAGGATGCTTGATGTTCTCCCACATGGCGCTCACAGTCTGCATGTCCTTTGCCTGCAAAATCTCAAAATGCGACGGTGGCTGTAGGCACCTTTAACTACAGCTCAACACAGCAGGCTGGGAAGGCGGGACGCAGTGCTGTGGCCAGAGAAACACGCTGTGCCTCCTGAGATCCTGCGCCGAACGGCCCAGGAAATGGCGAGCCCTGAAAGACAAAACAAGGGAGTTTAGGGCCCAGCTTTTCTTGTGAACTGCTTCCAGTTTGGAAATGCATAAGGATGATCGGCCAAATGTGCTGCTGATTGTGTGCTTCGCCCTTGCGCGTGTGCCGCGCGCACGGTTTGATCAAATTGCTGCCTCTGACTCTGAGTGGCGCTGATCCTCGAAAGCATAAGCTCCATCTGACCTTGGCGGTCAACTTTGACAAAAAAAACCATGTGTACTCATGCCCGCAGCTGGTGGAGGGATGTCTCAAACCAAAAGGCCCTTTCCTGCGGGATTCCCTGTTTACCAGGCTCTCACTCACTCACTCACAGAGCGCCAATCAAGGTGCGCAGCACACGTGAAACGTACATAAATCACACGAAACGCAGGGGGAACTGAGGTATTACTGTGTATTTACGTGGTAAGCCCACGGGCTGTTGGCTTGCTGCCATTGTGAGGTTGTCTTCTGGAGGATTGTCGGTGACTACTTTTCTTTTCAGAAAGGTTCTCCTCGGTTTACTGCTGCCTCATATACTTTGCGAAGGGCTTCATTACGAGTATCTGCGGAACGGCTTCTTCAAGGGCATACAAAGCATCGTTTAAAGTCTCGATTACCCAGTCTGCCCTTGGTCTTCCGACTCGTTTTACAATGAATAATATTTGGGGCGTTGGTGCCGGTTTCAAATATAACTTGTCTTAGCGGATCATATCGGCTTGCCCTGAGGATGTGGCCCATCAGTTTTAGTTATGCTTCTTTCCATGTCACTGAGATCCTTTGCATGTGTACCTCATATTGAGCTACTTTGTCCCAAACTTGTTCATTAGTTTGTGTTCTATCTATGTGCGTTGGTGCTATCTGAGAATGCGTCTAAGGTTTTTCACCTGGAACGCATCCAACTTGCTTAATTCTGCCTGGGTTAGTTGGATGGATTCTAAACCGTATGTCACTCTTGACTTACCAGACTGCGTGCAGGAAGTCTCCTTTTGATTAAAGACATATCATATACCCAGGCTAGGCATCTAAAGTCTCACACCTACATGCATGAACAGAGGAAAGGGACTTGATTTGGGATGATTTGGGAACATCTAGGCTGCCGGCCCAGGCTCTCCACAGGAGTCGCTCCCGGAAGGCTGGGAGGAGTTGAGACGCTCAGAGGCTGTGGATAGCTCCGACATGGGGGAGGGCAGGTGCCAGGGCCTTAGCTGCTAAGACAGAGGACTCCACAGCAAAGCCCATCAGAACACAACGCAACTGAGGAACGATGAACCACGGCTTCCGCCGCGGCTGGCGCGTCCTGGGCCAAGCCCTACGCTGGCCCCGCTGCCGCCTCCAAGGAACCGGAACAATGGACCCTCACGAGCGACAAGCATGTGACTGTGAAACTTGCTGGTGCCTCGCTGGGGCCCAGAGGCAGGACGGCCTGAACCATGGCTCGGTCCAGGGGCTGTCGAAGCCAAGGAGCCTCAGTGCACGAAGGACCGGTCGTGCGTCATCTGATCCCGAAAAAGCACGAGGGCTGTGATTTCCTGCGGTCTGGGGTAACAATCGTAAAGCACGGAGATCATGTTCAGGAAATCTTTCGTGCAACCTTCAGCAAGTAATTGGAACTTCGATTTCTACTACACCAGCCCCAAATTTTCAAGCATCTGCTATTGCCTTTGCGCTCAGTTTCAAGAGTAACGCGCGCAACCCCCTTTGTAGCCTGCTTCCACGGTGCCCACCCCCGGCGTGTGCTTGTTTTCCAGCGCTGCACTCTTTTTGTTTAGAGTGTGTTAGCCCTGTAGTAGATGAATTGCTTGGTAGTGGAACCCGATTGCCACGTTGTTCTGGGGACGCGGCGAGCAGTGGCAACCTAGTGTGAGAAGCTCTCAGAGGCGAGGTGTCTTCCGATTGTATGAGCTGTAGGAACCTTGAAGGACTCTGGCCCAAGACCGCACAGAGTTGTCCCACGGCGTGAGTGTGCAAGCTGTGTGAGACGTTGTGCTGTGGAACTTGCTTGTTTTGTTGCCTTGAGGTGCTGAGCTTGTGCAGGGAATGCTTTTGGAAACCTTTGCCCTTGTACTCAAGTGCTCTGTTTGGCGTTTCTGCTTTTGACGTGGTAGCGATAGCGAAGCGTGCAAATCTGAGTTGCCTTGGTGCGCCGGGTAGGGCTGTAGCTGTAAGCCTGCAGCTTTGCTTGTAGGTTGGGCTGCGGTTCCGCCAACGCCCTCCCTGGTTCAGTCTTGAGCCTCACTCCCAGAGCCTTGAACCTTGGAGCCCGAACGGCTGTGTTTCACATGCCTTGGGCAGCTGCTTATTCACGTAACTCAAGTCCTCTGAACCTGCACCCCTCTGCCGCTGCTATTCGCAACTGCATCGAAGTGGCCATGAGGTGAGGTTGTCGGAGCCGTTCCTACATGTCAACTCAAAGAGTCATGTATGGGATGTAGATGATGCAGCTTCGAGAAGTCAACTGCCGGGTCCTCCCAAGTTTGGACGCTGTGCTCCGTAGAGCCGGAGGTCGCTGGGCAGATTCTGCAGAAAATGAAGAAAAAAAGGCGCTGTCTGAAAATGTCTGAAATGCAAGTGACGTCATTTAAGCCTGAGGACCGCAGTAACCTGCTACGCAGCTAGGCAGCACTCGCAACCAGCCTTCAGCAAAGGTGATGCCACAGTTCGCTGCATTGTATGCCGCCCCCCGCCGGTCGGGGTAGAACCTGGATGACATGACATGTGCCTGGCTTGACATGCAACAGCTGCCCCGACCAGCCTGTGGAAGAAGCAGAGGAACAAAAGGAAGCTCCTGCACTTGCCTCTTGAAGGGTCAATGCTCAGTGCTACGGTACCGATGTAAGCATGACTGCCACCCATCGTATCACCATGTATCCCCGCATGTAAGAGGCTGCTGCAGCCTTAGGAGGGCTCGCCCCGCCAAAGTCAGCCACCTCTGGACAGCATTGACCACGTCATGAAAGGCCAAAGCAAGTCCCCATTCTGCCGTTCAGGTTGCCTCACTTGTTTCTGTGGAGCTTCTCCGTTTTCGCTCTTCCGCCTGCCATTGAGCACGTTCCATCATGAATGCACCGTCAGAACAGCCAGAGCGCTTTGAGAGTTCATCTGGCTTGGGCGAATTAGCCCGGAGGCGCCACAGCCTGCCTCCATGAAAGAGCTAAAGAATCGCTCTGACATCTTGTCGATGGGGGGCCGATAGCTCTCTGCCTTACAAAAACTTGCTCAAAGACCCTCAAGCATGATGGACTTCGCGGGACTCGTCGTATGTATCAAGATATAGGCTTGGTTGCCCACAGGGTTGTCGTCCGGAAGAGGTATGCCTCAAACACACTGAATGATGCAGTGGAAAGCTTCTCCATGCCAACAATTAACAGTGATACACCGCAGAATGCATTCTTAATTGCGTGCAGACCGGTTTGCGGTGGCATTTGGCAGCCGTAGCTGCTCAAAAGGTTCGACTAAATCTCCACTCATAGGCAATATGGTCCGATTGTACTTACTTGACACCAGGTTCTGGATCATATGGCCGCACATGCATGGCTGCGAAGGTATGAGTTACCTGAGTGCTTTCTGCCTCCAACGTGTGCATCGTTGGACAGCAGATACCGCTTTAGCAGTATGTGTTCAGTGAGGCCCAAGCCCATGCAGAGATGCCCCCACAACCCGCGCAGGGCAGCCTGCGGGACCTTTTCGTCCTGATATCGGATCATCAGAAATGACAAGCTGCAGTGTACTGGATTCAGATCACAAGGCAAATTCTGCTTTCTTCCTGGAAGCATCGCGGGTCATGAGGAATCATGAGGAGTCTGTCTGATTTGTGGATGTTGCCAGTGCCCTCACGCTGGCAGAATCTGGGCAGCAGACTGGACCTGCTCCTTGCAGGAAAAGTAAGCATCAAACCAAGCAAAGGGACAAGGCTATTTCGAGGGGTAAAAGCTTTCAAAACTTCAGACTTTCAAACCCTTTCAAATCGCTCCGTCCTGCCAATTCGGCGCTCTTGCTCTGACCTTGGAACTACGCGAACGCACAACAGTGGGTGGCATTGCTGAAAAGTGTTGTAGTGCACTATGGCGTTGCTGGTTTTTTGCTTCGTTGTGGTGTATCTCCCCAAGCTTTGGGCTCTAGGCAGACAAATGACTGAGCTGCCAACTGTCCCGCGTCGTTGCAGGAGCACTCCGAGGATGTTCTCCTTCAAGGCCTTCCCAACATGTTGCCAAAATTCGCAGATTGCAAGCATCACAAAGAAGTCACACAGAACCAGCTGCCGGCCTGGTCCCATCCTCTTCTCATCCCACGTGCGTGCAGACCCACCGCCCGTACCCTCCTGCAGCGCCAGCGCTCGAACAAGGATGCACGGAAGTCTGAAAAAGCAGAAAAAAAGTTGTCATACCTAAGGCAGCATCTGCAGCAGCAGTTCCCCTGTGCTGGAACGAATCGTTGCAAGTGGCTGTGGTTAAGCAACGCACCAAGAAAACAATAGGCCAAGAGTGCAAAGCGAAAAAGAAACTCTAATGTTTCAGCGCCTCTCCAGTTGCAGCGGCAGGTCTCAATTTCGCTGATGGCAGAAGTGGGACCAGACCAGACCTCACAACAACCACAGTCACTGTCTCCAAGCTGCGTGATGCACCATGGACAGCTTCTGCGCAAATATAGACCGAGATGCACAACATGGGAACACCATCCTAGCAACTCCTAGTAAGCAGACCACGAACCTTCCCAAGGTCCGGGTGCGCGGCGCCGGTTCCTCCAATCGACCTTGGAGCGGCTGCTTTCCCACTAGAAGACATCTAGACCTCAGCAACCTGTGATAGTGGGAACATGTTTCAAGATCTGCGAGTGAGCCTTGTCTAGCTCACTGTCCTTCAATGACTGAAACTCACCCATCCAGAACACGACATTCTAAGGACAGCGCTTGGTGGGACGGCCTGCATCAAGACGATGACAATTCTGAGCGATTCTGCATGTGGGTACCAAGTCTAGTCTAATCTACTCCTTTTCACCCTCCCTGTTTGCTTGGCATGCTATGATTGCCGTGTCTGTTTGTAAGCGTGATCTTGGATGCAGTGCATCCGCAACCCAAGCAAAGGCATGTGCAGCAACCATGTGGATGGGTTTGTGGAATGATGGCTCTCATTAGACAAGCTCCTGGAATCACATCCCAACAGGGAATTCATCATACCCAGATGATCCCAGATGAGCATTCCACTCTCACCGTAACCAGACTGAAACCATGGTGTAGCGAAGGTGACTGCTCATGGCTGTTCAATGGCACGGGACAACATGAGCCACGATAGCAGCCCTTGCACACACCACTTGACATGACCCACCAAGGCCGGATGACAAACCCAGCACTTACCGCGTGATTCGTAGGGCATGGCATAATCCAGCAGCGTGTGTCTTCCGAAAGGCTCCCCGACGTACCCCCGAAGCAGAGCGAGGCATGCCACGCCAAGAGGATTGTTCAAAATAGACATGCCGCAACTGACCATATTATGAACGCCTATGCCGCTACACAATGACCCGACCCTATGTCTCGGTGACGGCTCATGGTTATTTTGTACGGAAATTCTGTAGCAATAGATATTGAGCGCAAGCGATTTCGTTTGGCAGGTTCCCCTCAACACGGCAACAAGACTGCAATTCGCATGTAACTTTGCCCATCACTGGGCTGCACAAAAAAATCATGTTTGGCTGTAACGACATCAAATGGAGCCATGGAAACTGTGACGGACTGACTTCCATGTCTGAGTCTATCTGAGCCGTCACAAATCTCTGGCATGAAGCTACCTTGCCCTGTTGTGGACATCAGGTAAATGGAAATGGATAATGGAAAACCCTCCCTGGCACCTTTTCCTGGTTTCCATTCAAGAAAAGAGGGGAATACTCGTCCGCGCCGCCAGTTTGCCTAACGTCTAGCCGGGCCTAGCCCTTGCCTGTTGAGGACGCGCTGTTGCCCCATGAACAGCCTGCGACGAAGTCAAAAGGTCTGCCCCCGGCACTTCAGGCTCATCGCTCCCAGCCGAAAGTTACCACGCTCCGCGAACTGATGTTCCTCTTCTTCACCTTCTTGGGACCCTGGCTTTCAGGCTCCGGATGCTTTCAGAACTGTAATCGGCGAATGAGTGGACTGGGGGCGTGAAACTTATTATGAAACCCTGCAAGTCCGGCCTCCCTGAGATTGCTTATGGACACCATAACACCTTGCTCCTTAAAGCCCTCTTAATCCCCCGTTAAGCTCTCTTTCGGCCCCATCTTAAAGCCTCTCTTTAAGCCCCTGTAACACCCCTCTTTAATCTCCACCTTACAGCTCACCAGAAGAAGCATTGGCCCGTTTTTCCGGCTAAATTATCGTACTTCAGAGTTGAAGCTGTGTTCGAAAAAATGGCCCACCCTTCCAAAAATGCACAATGTGCGAGGGCAAGGGTGGCTGGCCAACGGCCGTTACGAGCAAACCGTCGAGCCTGTCTGACAGCTCATCGGTCTACTCAAGTCCTCTTTCATGTCAGTAGCGAAGATAGCAACGGAACCTTCTAAGTCTGCCCATGCGCGGTGGCTCAAGCTTCTGTTGTGAACAAATCCGGCACAGGGTCCAAGGAAAAAAGTGCATTGCCAGCGTTTGTGCAAGCAGTTCGGCAAAAAGCAGGTCTTGTCTGGCTGTCTGAAAAGCGGGAAGGGCGGCTGAGGGATTTCGCTTGCAGCACACAAAAAATGGATCGACATACAGCTCTTAGCCGGTCATGCAAGACTCTGTTCGTTTTGCACAAGTTGTAATCAGGAATGATGGTACGCGGACCTTGTATGTTCCAGCCTGCTCTACAAGCCATAGATGCAGCCCAGATTTCAGCGTACTTTGACTGAACCTACATTACTTGTGTGGTTTAGCGAAGAGAAACGCATGATCATGTCATGTGCTGAGGATGGGGGCTGACTTTGCAAGAAAAACTAGAACTTTTTTCAACGCAACTCGGCACCAGCCCCACCACCCCATGTCGTGCTGGCTGGCACATAGAGACTGTTGAGATTGAACTGCAAAAGTCCTGGGCAATGGTGTCTCACGGCGATGACTGAAATGGTTCTGTAAAGGGTGTGTGACGGTCTGCATTTCTTCCCCAAAGACAAAGAACAAAAGGATGGCACCGCCTGCTTGAAGGATGGCACTGGATGATCTGGAGCTGGCCGCCAGTCTGGGTCATAGTGAAAGCCCATGATGAAGGGATGCCCAGAGGCCTTCAGAAGCAAACCTTTCAGTTTCGCCGGCATGCTGGGGCCTGTGCCTGCATGGGAGTCCATCGGTTGTCTGGGTTCAGCTGCAGAAGGCCTGGCAAAGGCTTCAACCTACAAGAAACAGAGTTAACACATCTGGAGGCCTGTGAGGAACTGCAGGAACGACAGCCGTCGATCTTGTTCCTGCAAACAACAGAAACTCTGAGCGAACTCTTGGTTTTCGGTCTAGATTGAAATCCTAAGAGTCTAAAAGCTGAAGCTTGAATTTTGAAACCTCAAATATCCAAAATGAGGAAGGTGGCTGCTCTTCAAATGAGAAAAAGGGAGCTGATTCTGAGACCTGATTTGCTTCTCAGATTTCATTAGGAAATAAGGGCTCAAACATTGCTTCCTGAGCTGCACCTTGCTTGCGAGGATCTTTCTTTAGATGAATGGAAACACCCTCTAGAATGAAAGTACATTCAAGTGCTACCACCAAG